AAAGCTTCTTAAATCTGAGAGTCACCTGTTGGCAAATTACTCTAGGATATTTTTAACAACTATGTCTTAAAATAATTCCATTTCCATGGGCAAAGAAAATGATTTGTTTTGAGTCTCTGAACACAGCACTGGAAGAACTCCGAATTTCCTCTCCGTGTGCAGAGGACGCCTGCCTCCAGTCGTGAGAACAAAAAAGTCTGGTCATAAAAAGGTGGGCAGCTGTTAAATTAGGTAGCAATTAGGACTGGTACAGGAAATTGAGAAAGCGAGAAATATGTCAAATATTAGCAGATTTACGTATCATCCCTTCTTACCTCCCTAAATATCTGCTACCAGATGTGGCTGGGGCTCTGTCCCTGCCAGCTGCATCCTGCGCTGGCAATCACACTGTCCGTTCTTGCTGTGACACTCACTGATACATCCCCTTATCCCATATATGCAACGTAATCAAACAGCTTCAGCATACTGTTGAAAGTACTGTATTCACTTTGGGGAACATTATGTGAATACTGATTGGAAAAATTTGGCGTGTATTCTTATTCTTACTAAATGCAATTTACTTCAAAAAGAGACCCACTGGTTTTGCTTTCCCAGCACAGCAATTTTTCTGGTTCTGTCTTCAATACTTTCACACACTTACGCCCAACTTAGCTGCTGATCTTCAACACTCAAGGTAACTGTTACCTAATAGACTCTTTTAAATGACCTAGCACATGGGAATGAGTGTCAGCCAACAATTTGTTGTTCTCCAAAACATGAAGTCTTTGTTTCTGTATCATGTATTTACCAAAATTAGTCTTGCAATCTATTCATCATTTTAACCCTGATTTTAATTTTTTATAGTCATTTGTTTAAACACCTCACAGAGACAACTTAGGACTGCCATCTGATATGACTCTTGCTGTGTCACTTTTCTTTGCTGCTTCCGTCTCAGAATGTCTCACTTCATTGCTGGCTATCAATTTTTAAGATAGCATTATGTTCCGTATTAACAACTTATTTGTCAAAAGATAAGAATGATGCTGTTGCAATCACAGGTTCTGTAGAAATGTAACATCTCCACATTTGAAAATAAGGACAGAAGCTTGTTTCTGAGGGATTATATTTCCTTCACAAATTCTATACAGAAACAAGTTTCTCATCCTTTTCCCCTTGTCTATATTGTCTGCATAACACATATTTCCAATTTATAAAAAATAAACAAACCCACCAACCAAGGCACTGCCATGCATTATTCCAGAAGATGACGGAGGATATCGGTCTGAGTAATTTTCATGCTTTCAAACTTTCTTTTCACCTCTAAAAGGCAGAATAATGTAGGCCACTTTTAATGAGAGCAACTGGGCATTTATGAGGTCATGTTCTCCCTGCATCATCACCATATTTTGCCATTTTTAAGCAGGGTTGACTTTTGCCTACAACGTTGGGCACTTTGATATGGTGAAGCCTTTTGGCTGCCTCATTAGCTCTGAATCAGTGTGTGCCCTTGCATTTTACTGTACCATTTCCTCCAGCATTCATTATGCTGCAGTTTAAACAGCCTCTGGCTAGAAACTTCTTAAAACATCATGATGAAATTACTTTCTCGACAACATACAAGTCAATTATAACGTAATTAAAAGATATACTAATCTATTCCCTTGTTTGGTAATGGTATCTTGGTTAAGATCATCCAGTGCATACTTGTATGGTATCTGTGAAATCTTTTACTATAAATTGTAAGCTACTGTCCACAGCACCTGTTTTTCCGTGAAAGACGCAGGAATTCTAATACCTACTCTCTTTTAGCTTTGCAAACATGAGGAATTAAAGTGGTACGAGCTGTTTTGAATCTAGGGTCTCCACTTTTCAGTGCTTGACTCTCCAGGCATTTCAATGGGGTCATTTGTTGCTGGGCTGGGAGGATTTGGAAGCAACCTGGCACCTGGAAGGTGTATGCTCTCGCCTGGCTGCGCTCCATCGTGTCTGACTCCTGGTTTTCAGCACAAGCTTCTTGCATATCCCTCTGCAAGGGAAGAGTTATGCTCTCCTGACTTCATTCTACTCCCTACCTTTACTCTACTCCTCTTCTGTCCCATTTTCCCCTTTGCTGCAACGTCCGTCTTCCCCACCTCAGCAGGTACCAGCCAGGCCCTTCTGTCCTTCCTCACCGCTTGGCAAACAGGTAAGGACCCGAAGGCGGTGTCCTGCTGTGCTGGGCAGCAGAGCCCAGCAACTCCTCTGCCAGCCGTGCTCACAGAGTGAGGGCCCAATATTTAATAATATTTAATATTTACACCTTTAAACACACAGGCTCAGAGGTTCCCTCGATGCCACCCTTCAGCTCACTCCTAAATCCTCCTGCTCCCCTCTGCCCTGCGGTACCCCTCCTCATCCTCCTGCACCCCAGGTGCTTGGGGACGAGGGACAGAGACCTGCCAGGAAGCAGAAGGGGACAGGCTGCGCCTGCTAGGAGAAGAGAGGATGGGGCTGAAGGACAGGGGACTGCGGGGGGGTCTGGACCTTCGGGGACAGCAGCAGCCTGAGGAAGCCACTCCTGTGAGAATGACAGCCCATCAGGTTGGTGGTGCATCAGGAGGAAACTAACTACGCATCAGGTTGACATTACGCAGCCTGCCCCACGCCCCGCACGACAGCGGCGCCAACAGGCTTCGGCAGCCCTACGCTACTCCGCATGCTTGCAAGTCAACACGCTGCCCAGCGCAACACGTAAAATAAAGCTTATGCAACCGGGTAATGAACAATGTTTGAGTGAGGTGTCCTGCATTCTTGGTCACTTTAAAATTTTTATTGTTACTATGTAATGTCAACATAAAGTAAAAAAACAAACAAACAAACAAAATTAATCCAACAGCTGCATCCAAGTTGGATTTAAGTGAGATTTCTCTGCAAGCCAGTGTGCATTGTGTATGTTTGTCTAAAATAAGCTGTTAGAACAGCCCCTTTGCAGTTCAGACGAGGATGGAGAGATACAGGTCCTTCGTTACCACCCTAGAAAGACCTAGAGCCAAGTCCCTTAGTTTACTTGAGCTTCAGCTTTTTTGTCTTTAAAACAGAGATAACTTCTGCGTGCAGTGATGCTGTGATGCTAATCCATCTGGTATTTGCCAACGCATGGAAGACTTTATTCTAATAAGTGAGATGTACAGAAAACAGGACAATACCAACCGATGGTGTTTATGTTCTTCCTCACAGTCCTACCCAGTTTCATTTTTGGCTAGAAAAGTAGGTCAAAACACTAAGCAATAGTTGTTTGAGGGAGAAAAGCAACTTTTAACTTATTTGGGTATAAACACCCTTCTTTTTCCAAATCAGCACTCTTAAAACGGACAGGCAAGGTAACTGAGACTCTCCAGAGACAAGCTTCTCTTCTCAATCTGTTCCTTGATCAGCAAAGGTTCAACACAAGAGGGATAATTCATGTGGCCAGCAATTGATCCTTGCTCAGGAAGTCCCAGGAAAGAATTGTAACCATCAGAAGCTCACCTTTTTTTGGGACATGCTAAATGGGGAGAGGTTGGTTCCTTCTGGGTGTATTTTGGGCAAATTACAAAGCAAAGCTTGGATCTTGCCCATCTTGTTGTCAGCACACACTTTGCAGTTCTGGGCAGGACCTCTGGCTGTGGGCATACACTGCCCCTGCGGCTTTCCCCTGCCACATACAGTAATTACTTTCTTTCCATTAATTGCTCTTAATGCATGCATGAACATCCACAAATCAAGCGACCTGCTGCTGTGGGTATAGCAGTTTTGGCTTGGAAGTCACGCTCGCCTGGGTTTGTAAAGCCAACAGCACCAGCTTCACCCGAGCCGGAGTATCCATGGGGTATAAGCAAATTTTGGGAGCCTTAGCTTTCCCCAGCAAGCTGCAGGGGTTGTGTGTGCCGACGGCAAACCGAGGCAGCCAGGGCGGTTCGCTGGCGTCTCTGGAAATGAACGCACCCGCACAAACAGTGTAATGATGGTGACATATTAGTGCTGTGCCAATGTCAATGAAACATTACCATCAATTTAAACTGGCAGTATGGCTGATTTATAAACCAATATATAACCAAATATAGCACAGAAGATGTTTGGAAAAACAAGTATGTGAAATAGGCATGACAAATAGAAAAGCTTTAAGGGATGATTTCTGCAATAGCTCTCTCTCCCAGGACAGTGATATTTTAACATCATCATCCAAACAGAAACACAGATAAACAGGCTGTAAACTTGTTTCATTACCCTGTGGTTTGTGCTTTGGCAGAACTGACCCATGATTTTTGTACCAGTGAAATGTTTTAACTTCTACGTCTGACGGGGGCCTGCTAGGGGAAAGCAGTCACCGTGCAAGTTACTTTGGAGGGACTTATCAGAGGGATAAATCTAGTACCTAATAATAAAAACAGTTGTCTGAGCAACCCATTCAATCCAACCGATCAGGATTCTTACAGGAATTACTTCAGCACGCTATCTGGTAATGCAAAACAAAGTAAGACAAAAAGGTGGGGGAAGTCTTCATGCCTAATTTGTCCCATTGGTGAATTCCAGTACAAAAGCTGAACAAAATTAAGTGCTAACGGTAAACAGTTCAACCAGGCAAAATTGAATATGCAGTTGGCATTTAAATTAAAAGCTCTAGTCTGCACATATCTGTCTCCTCATTTCCCTTAAAAAGAACATTTTTTTCACCAAAAAGGCCTCAGCCTTATCTATCTAATATAGCTGGTGGTTTTAGATACTGTACTACAGACTGAATTTAGACACTTAAAGCTCTTGGCTTATTAAGATCATGAAGTCAAACTAGTCAGAGATAAAATCAATTAAGTTTGGCAAAATCAATTTTAAGGTGCCCCGTGTTTTTCCAGTTACCACTACAAGTGTCCATAATGGATTATATAAAAAAAGTATTTATGAACTTAAGTGCTTAATGTAGCCCATTTATGCCTATCTTCAGCCAGGGCTGACAGTCACGATCCCCTCCGCACAGTAAACACGCCGGGGTACCATCAGCCTCCTACCTTGGCTCCATCCACACTGATAATCCGATAGCTGTTTCTCGTGCTGTCATAGAAGTAGGAAACAGTTACAGCCTGCTTGCTTGCGGGAACCCAGTTCTTCTTCGTGCTGGGGTCAATTTGGAAGACATGGGCTCTGGTGGTGAAGATGGGCTGTTCTCTGGAATAGGGAGGGACAGGAGAAATGGATGCATGAGTCTGCGGAAGATGAAATGTCCCAGAAGCCCAGCCTTGACCAGGCACGTTGAAAGCACAAGACAGAGAGCACCTGGCAATCCCCCAAGTGAGAAGGCAGAGCAGTGACTCTGCTGAGCCACGATCCAGCCTTGGGTACCTCTCCTTGGCATCGCTAAGTGTCATTCACCACCCTAAAGTTACTGTTGTAGCCCAGGAAGCAATTGGCTTTTTTCTCCCCATGTTTTACTTTTCCTCAAAATATTTATTTCCAGGAAAGGACACTCAGATGCATCCTTTCTTTCCCCATCCACATATTTTGCCAAAAGAAACGATGAGCCCCCCATGGCTGGGTTTCCTCCTGCCGCACATTCCTGTGAACCGCTACCTACAGCCAGGGTTCCTCTGTGGATGCACCAAGGACTCCAGCAACCTACAGGCACGGTATAGTTACTGAAATATTAATCTCTACCCTTAAAGTCCCACTGTTCAGTGGGTGTGCATGAAAATTTCATCAGATACAAAACCAGTCAATCATCCTGGGGAGTGAGGGGGAAAAGAAACACAACCAAAACCCATACATCGCCTTTCAGTTCAACTCTCAGTGGATGACGTACTGCCCCTGACACCCCGTTCCCAAACACCAGCCCTCCTCGGATGCTTGTTCTCATCAAGAAAATTGTGCACACAGTGGAGTGGTTTTGTTTTACCTTCAACACGTGACAATGCAAATCACACATAAAAGCAAGAAGATGCAGGACCAAAAACATGATACACACAAAGTCATCTAGGTTGAAGGTCAGAATTAAGACTTACTTAAAGGTCATAAAACTACATTCACTTCCAGCTATACCTTTAATCCATGTTTAGAAGTAGAAGTGAACTGCAAACCAAGCTCTACTGTGCTTTTCTATACATTTTTATGCTTTTAGTTCTTAGAAGCTACAGTTTATAGTGGTCTATATTAAGTGTACTCTTATCACATATATACTCTTATCACATATATATTCTTAACACATACAAGATAGATACTATATCATGAACAGTTACACTTGACAGAATTATGACCGGATTCAAAACCAATTGTACTACAATAGAGTTGCCGCCGAAAAATATTTACCACATGGAAACTGAAAAGGCTGAATCTAGCACAAAGCAAATGAAAAGAGGCAGGTGAAAGGCCAGAGAGGTTGCTCGCTCTAATATGCTATTTTTCCTATTCCTATAAATAGTTCTCTTTTATTATCAAACTCGGTCCCATAGTTTTGGAACTATGTTTTTATTAAGATTTCTATAATCTTCAGCTCCTTATATAACTACCTGTGCATTTTTCGAAGAGAACAACTTCAGACACTGTATGTAGGAACTGCATCAAACACAGACGATCTTGACCCTTGCAGTTAAATTAAAATCGAGGGGAGTAAATTTACAAATGAAACAGATAAAGCAATTAAGTGGAGAATTAGCTCACGAAAGATGGAGTGAGCTTGTAAAGCCCAGCAAGGCCTCAGGAGGGAGAAAATGAAACAATGGTTTTCTCCTTGCAAGACATATGCAAAGCTTTACATTTTTCCAGCGGCTGCCATGCAGGGTTTCTAGATGGACAGCTATGCTGAACCCTACAAAATACTTAGATGGAATAAAATGAAACTACAATGGGACTGTCACGTTACAACTGTGAAAGACTAGCATTCACTTCTGCTCTTCCTTACCAGTAACTCATGGAACCTGACTCTCATTTCACACGCTAAGATTGATGCAGTCCTCAGCTGGGAGGAAAGAAGGGGCAGGTCTCTGTACCATTTTTCAAATACTTCCATCATCCATTACACAGGATTAACAGCATAACGCCCACGAAGGTCGTGGAGTTTCTTTGCAATAAGGAATGCAGGGAAGCGAAGGTTCCCCCGAGCGCTTACTCTTTCACTCTAAAAATACGTACTTTCCCTGAGTGTAGAATAATTTTGGATTTATTTAGCCTTTTACTTAGCTCTGTATTTTTAGTGGATTCTACTAATAATTGTTTTTGCTAAGGGTAATATGACCTATACATTGCAGTTTAAACTTTCAGAAGTTTCCTCCATGCAAACCTATTCCACAAATGACTTTTGGTAACTCATCTTAACAATACCAAAAAACATTGTTAAAACTATGCTTGGGCTTTCTGCAGCAGGAGCAGTAAGCATATAAACTAAACCTGGAGATAAAAGTAGTAGAATGAAGGGGAAAACTATGTACCTCAATTTTTTCAGGAGTCTTGTAGCAGCTACTGTTGTCAACAGGAGCTGTATACATGTATCCAAGCAGGGAAAATAATGGATAATGAAGCTCAGGACTTGAGATAGCCAATCTATCCATTCATGTGGGGCTTTTATGAAAAAGTAAAGGCAAAACCTGACTATGTTTCTAATCCTTGTGATTATTAAACCAAAAGAAGTGCATTTTGTCTTCTTGGGTGCAAAAAGCAGCCCTACCACTCACAGTGATAGTGTGCTAGTTGATAAATTATTTTTAAAAAAGGAAATGCAATGTGTAAAATTAAGCATTTTAACTCATTCAAGATAAGTGAGCTGTTGACCTTTTGTTGAGACTCAAATTTGGAAGGGCCAGTTGGTTGCTCTCCACATATGCCTTTGACCTTTCTGCCGTAGGCGGCTCTACAAGGCAGCAAAGCCCCAAGACTGACTTTTGACCCCATGAAGCAGACCAAGTGCCCCCAGGACACAACCCCCTAGAAGAATTTCCCAGTGTTGGCTTGTAATAATTAAGAAAAGACGACGCATTTCTGCGGCCATGCCTGCCCTGCCGCACTCCCTGCTGCCGAATCCACCCGCAGGTCTGCACTCAGCTGGGACCCCGAGGAGCCCAAACCCATCAGCAGGGCCCATGAGTCGACGCCACTGGCACTGGGAGCCGGAGCCACCACGCTTTCCCTCACGTCATTGCGGGTCGGCAAAGCCAACAGTGTTGACAAACCCTAGTGGTGCAGTTCTTAACACGGGCGGGAAATATCCTCCTTCATTGCACCCCAAACTCCTTTGACCTGCGAAGCACACACAGCCAACTATAAAACTGCAGCACTCAATTTTCAAATGAAATGTTGAATTAGACACTTTTAAAACACTTACCATGGCCTTACAGAGCTCCAAATTGAGAGGGATTATTCTGCCTTACTCACTTGCAACTTTGGACATTCAAGAAAGCACTTCAACTGGTAAAGGAATGACTTTGTTTTCCAGGGTTTCTGTCCTTTTCATTTTAACACAGCTTTATCAAGTTTTATGCTTAAAACAGCAGCAATGCTAATGTGAAATGCACACAGCACATCCCGCATCCTTTGAGCCCCTGTAAGCTGGGCGGTACGTGAGACCGCCAGTTTGCGCGGGGAGGCAGGGAGCAGTGGTGCTGCCAGCCAGGCTGCGGACTCGTAAATCAGAAGACAAAAAGAATTCATGAATGTTTAAAATTAACCAAAGTTGTTAATGATTGATTAAATACTCTTTAAAAAAAAAAAGTTTAAAAATCAATTTGACAGTAACATCCGCTGTTTAAAGTAAAGCTGTTTGAAAAGTAGCAAGTGGAGACCTAAATTATAGCTAATAGTTCTATGTTTAATAATGCAGAGTAAGACTGAAAATGCGATTTGATAAACTTTTTTTTATTACTAGATATGGCCAGCATGCTTTAGAAATATGATTGCAATTTTCAAGTCATGGTTTTACGTGTTTTAGCTGACACTAAATTTCCGTCCTTGTGTCATATGAGACAAATCTCAAGTAAAAACCAATCATTCTCCATTAATGTAAAAATATGTCAGAAACCTCTTCTGAAGAATTTAAAAAGCAAAAACCAAGACCCTGGAGCTAGCTAACTGCATCCACAGCTGTGTGAGATACAGTATCACTTTCTGGTTAATATACAACCCTGCCAAATTTTACAAGTGTGTGACTAGCTGCAAGCCATATGTTTCATATTACTCTTCCTAATCAACGGCAATGAGCTCTCACTTAGGAAAAGTTCAAATTATTTAATTCAAAGTTCCTTGTTTGTCATTTGAATCAGGAGCATAACCAGTGATTTAAATCACTTCAGCTGCAAAGAGCCTTTGCCGACTGGCAGTCAGCACCGTAAGGGCTGTGGGATACTGGTGGCTGATGGAGCCGCAGCACAGCGAGCCCTGGCCGGGCGGCCGGCCGGCATCTGGGAGAGCCCCGGGCCCCAGCCATGCACAGAGCCATGCGGAGCCGGCTCCGGCTCCAAGCCAGGCGCGGATGATGTGAACACTCCTGTATTGAAGCAACCTTTTGTGGTAGTAAATACAACACGGCGACTCACATGGGCGCCTGCAGGAGCAGCACCCACGTTCTTTTAAATGTGCAAAGTGCCCAGTGCACATCAGGTGGGTGTGCTTGACCGAGCAGTAAATAGAACAAAGCTGCTCCTTTACTTGTAGAATCTGGAACATCAAACATATTTCTGACAGGAGCTCTGGTACTCCACCAGAGGCAAACCCACTATTTGCACATTTTGCTAAAACTTTCATTAACAGATTACATAAAATTTCTGGGATAATGATTCCTAGTTTACAGGACAGGCTTATTTGCACTTTCTCCATGCTAACACTAGACAGCTTTGCATTAACTAATTTACCAAGCGGAATAAATATATTTTTTAAAAGAACACATCCTCATAAAGCTGCCATTCGGCAGCTGCAGACAGTGTGTCAGCCTCGAATTTTTGGAACGTGGCGCTTCCTGCTACAGGCCAGTGTCATGCACACACTGAGGTTTATACCACCTGACAGTGCCAGCAGGTCTGCAGTGATTTGCTGTAACAAGTATTAGATAATGAGCATCTTTCAAGGAAGAAGAAAAGTAGGTAGGAACACAAAATCCTAGATTGTGACATAGCCCCCACCACTGGTCATGATACAAAAAAATTTATTTGCTAAACACAACATGACAAACTTGGTGTCAATAGTTATTTCTACTGAGCATCACTACTACTGCCTGACAGTGCAATGAAGAGAACTGATCCTTTATGTGTATCTTCACACAGAACGTAGTTCCAAGTGCCATTTGTATGTATTTATGATAATTCAAAAATAAGCAATGTTGCTAAGGAGTGCTGTTCCCACATGCCCCCACCCCAGGTGTAGCCAGCTGTGCGCGCACAGCTCTCACCGGGCCGCCTGACAGCCGCTCTCGTCTCCTGCGCGAAAGCGGGACAGCAACGATGCCAGCTCCCACAGCCACCGAGCGTTACCGTGCCCCTGACTTCTCAAAAATGCACACGCAGCTCCAAAGGCTAAGAGCACGTTGGCAAGGCAAACGCGTGCCTTCGGTCCCAAACAAAACTGAACAAATGCATCCTGCCCCTTGAAAGCAGCAAGCTCTGCAGCTGCTCCTCCAAGACCCCAGAAGACACCAAGTGTCCCCTTTCAGCCGGCGGCAGTGCTGGCACCGGGGGTCCCCATGCCTCGGGGCACGCAGCTGCCCGGCCAGGATGCTGCTGCCTTGCCTTTCGAGATTCTACCGTCGCATGACGGCCCCCGAGCTCACGGATGGAGACTTTTCTCCTATTTGAAACACTCATCTAAATGAAAGTCCAGGCAAGTAATGATGCCTAAAAAATTATCTGTGAAAATACTGCCTCATCTACCCATAACACTACTCACCCGTTCATACATGCACATCTCAAACTTTAAAAAACAACCAACCCCTCTCCTCGAAACACCAAAATCCAAGTAAAGGCAGACCTCTGATGAAGGACGTAACTGCCGTGGGGAGAAGTTACAGTTCATGGTGTCGCACATAGTAATTCGCACACCGGTTGCAGTTTATACACAGAAGTAATCTGTGCTCAAAGCAGAAGAGAGAATTCGCGATCCTCCAGCCCATTACCTCTATGTATTGAAAGCTCGTGCCATCTTGGGTCAAAGCTTTTCAGGAATTGGAAAGCCACACAAATTAACTTTTTAATGATGACCAAGGACGAAGTTGGAGGACCCCTCCCCGCCTCACCGCGTGCACTCTAGCCAAGACAAGTGCATCCCCACTACGCTTGCCACAAACAAAGCAAATTCAGCTGTCGCAGCCCAATTCCCTGAGATACTGCAACCTCAGCGGCCCCCGCTGCCCACTTCGTGGCTGGGGTCAGGGGCGAGGAGGGCAGGCGGGGCCTGGCCAGCACGGGCAATACACAGAGCTGGGGAGAGGCAAACGCTAAACCTGCACGTTTTACACATACGGTGGCAGCAAACCGACATGAAAGCAGGCAGCTTGCCCCCTTCCCAAATTGGCATGTGCTAATTAATCCAGGTCATTCATCAGCTGCGACAGGCAGGTTGTGGTGCCGGCTGCCAGCACACACAACCAACAGAAGTGAAGAGCCTGTTTCAACTTGCAAGGGTGCAAAACTCATAACATGAAGCAAGCAGGTGGGTAATGGCTCCATTTTACACCTGAGGAAATAGCCCTGGAGACTGACATGGCATCCCGGGATAACAGAGCCAGTAGCAAGCCTGGAAATAACATTAAATCGCTTCATTTCCTCTCTGCAGTGTTGCTATCGCCATCGTTGCAGGGCAGTGTTATACCAGATCTTCTACCCAGGGAAGTTTTTGACTATGTGCATTTAAAAGCCTAAATCAACAGCTGACTACTCACTGCTCAACAGAAGAGGCTATTGTAAAAATTAAGTCTTTACAGACCAGGGAGAAGCCATCGGGGGTTTTAACCGTGGCTCCCACACGATGCGGAGGAAGGAGGGCCAGGACGCCAGCCCTGCAACCCGCCCGCCTGCAGCCGAGCGCTGGTGGCCAGATGCAGGTCTGCCCAGGGACCTGTGCAGACACAGTCCTCCTCACACAGGTACTTCCACAGCAGAAGTTACCTGGAATGATGGAGAAGCAACCCGAAGCAATACAGGGCAGGAAGGGTGAGCTCAGAGAGCAGAAGGAGGCCTTAATATTCGTCGTACACGAGGGATGGGAGAACTGGCCCAGACCGATGGCTGGGCTGGCAGGGGAACTGCACTCGGTTTTTGCTGCTCTTTTTTCTCTATGTAAAAGAAAAAAACAAACAAAACCGCAGGTACCTCTTAAACGGCATTTGTGGGTACTCTGCTAGCCAAGCCCTGTGCTGCCCAGTGGCATTCCCTGCCGCAGGGTGGAACTGCGGGTACGCAGAGGGTACAGGCAACAACTTCTGAAAAACTCAGACTAGCAGCACAGAAATTACACTGTCTCTAAAAAAAGAGAGAAAACAAGAAAGAGAAACAGCTATTTTAAAAATATGACTTACTCCAAGTCCTTCTTTTCAGCCTTTCAGCTGCTGAAATTCCTACTTCGTAGGCAGACGGATCTCCTCGCAATGAGGTTGAACAGAGGTACGGAATCTGGCAGCAGCGCTAACTGAGGGCAAGGTTGTGCACCTCGTTCATATAACCACAGTCGTGATCCTCTATACTAGATTTCATATCAACTCACCTGCAGAAATGTATGAAATTCATGCAAAAAATCCATCTTTTTTAGCTCCCTTCTTTTACAGGCATTATTATTTCAACAGACAGAATGTAATTAGCAAAAGTGCTTCTTGCATTTGTAGGAAACATAATAGTTCCAGTTACTTAGACAGAAAAAATTAAGAAAAAAACTTAGCTAGCTAAAGAGGAATTTTATGTTAAAAGGACAGATGTTAATTAAACTCGTTTTTGATTTGCAGCTGAATAAATCCAAAAGAATAAATCTTGAGGACAAAAACTCTCAGTATGAAAAACATTGTAACATCTGTGAGGCCTCCCAATACCATTCTGCCTTTATGAAGTCAATATACAAATTAAAGGCATAACTTGGGCAGTGAAAAAGCTCACACTTCATTTTTGGGCTATCTCCAGATGGCTATTAACCTGTCAAGACACTGTGAATAAACACTCATACACAA